AATAAAAAGATATGCTAGGCCAGGAGTGGTGGCTCATGCCTGTAATCCCAGCTCTTCGGGAGGCTGAGGTGAGAGGATTGCCTGAGTCCAGGGATTGGAGATCAGCCTGGGCAACTTGGCGAGATCTTGTCTCCAAAAAAAAATAGCTGGGCATGGTGGCACATACCTGTGGTTCCAGCTGCCAGCTCCAGGTGTTGGCTCCTGTAAGAGATGGTATTGATTTTCACATTATGATGCACTACTCGTGAGGCACCGGAGGGAGGAGGTGAAGGAGAAGCCAGCCACTGATTCCCGGAATTTATTTTGAGACACATTAATTTGTTTCTTCCCTTCAAGGTCAAATCAAGTCATCTCCATATATCACCACTGGCAGCTGGCGGGCTGGAAGGTAGTTGGGAGGGGGTGGAGGTGTGCTACAGATAAAACTCTCTCGGAGTTGGGTCAAGGGAGGGGGGGTGGAAGAAGATTCTGGGCATCCCCTGTCCCGGAATTGTCATCAAAGCGAGGGCTCAGGGACGATATTCCTCTGTCATTTAGTTGGAGATCTCTGCGGAAAGGTCAAGTCATCTGTTCTGATGCCACCTCTTATGTCTTTGAGCCAGAAACTCTTAGAACTGAAATGAGCCAGGTTTCTGGGGCTTGAAATCATGCCATCAGCCTAATTTCCCAGGGTGACCCATACTCACCACTCACTCATCCATCCATTCATTCAATAAATATTTATGTCTCTAATGTGCCACACATTGTTCCTAGCACAAAAGACAGTAATGGACAAGCCAAAGAAAGTCCTTATTCTTTTGGAGTTTCTATTCTAGAGTGTGTCTACGTATATGATGTGTTTTGAGGGTGGCTTACATTTTAATATGCAGCCAAGCAAACATAACTCTCAGAAGTGCTTTGAAGCATATAAAGCAGTGTGATGTATTTAACAGTGATTGGAGGTGGCTGTCGTGAGGCCACTCACAATATTGCAGGGGTTGGGCAAGTGGGGGTAGGGAAGGGTAAGGGAGGAAAGATTTGAGGGAAGGTCTGAAGAAATTAAGATGGGAAGATGGCAGCCAGGCAAGGAGCTGGGGGCAGAGTGTTTGCAGCCAAAGGAATGGAAAGTGCAAAGGCCCTGGGGTGAGCGAGCATGGTGTGTTTGAGAGACAGAAAGGAGGCCTGTGTCTAGGTAGAAGAGAGTGAGCTATAGGAGATGACACTGGAGACATGACAGGGACTCTGAAGGTGACAGAAAGGAGTCTGGATTTCATTTGTTCAATTCGTTCTTCTATACACCCAGCAAGTATGAAATGCTTCCTATGCCTCAGGCACTGTGTTAGGAGTTAGGATGCAGTAAAGATGCACCAAGGTGTGGTCTCTGTCTTCCTGAGGCCTGCAGTCTACCAGGGGAGCAGGCTGATATCTAGGGAAGTCATGCTCCTTTGAGATATTTAAACTAAAATGACTCATGTCCTCTATCGAGTGCCCTCCCCCCGAGATCAGTGATGTCTCAACAGGTCCCTTCTTGTGGTTCCTTCTCACTGTGAGTTCCTGTCTGTGAAGAATTCCTCTCCCCGTGTGCTTTGCTCTGGCCTGTCCTCAACCTCCATCCACCCTTGTCCCCCATGACCACTCCCATAAAGCTCCTGCAAGTGCATGAGACTTTCCTTAAGGCTGGATTGGCGTGTGCGTTTTATATCACACTGCAAAGAATTTAAAATGAAATACTGTGCAACCTTTCTTTAAGTCCCTCTGCCACCAAGTGCGCCTCACTGACCATCTCTTGCTACAGTCCAGGCATCTAGAATGTTGCCAGGGCCCCTCACCTTAGAGACCCCGCCTGCTTGCTTGGGCAGATACACATGGCCCTCCATGCCCTTGGCCTGGGCACACCCTCATATATGGGCTCTCCACTCCACCCACTTGGGGTGTCACCAGTCGGTGGCCCAGAAAGGGTGAAATTGGACATAACAACCTTGCTTTCCTCCTCTCGCCAGGCTCTCAAAGTGAAAAGAAACAGTAACTGACACTCAGCCCAGCATTTTGCACATGGTAGATGTCCAGTAAATATTTACTGAACAAATACCGAATGGGTAGGGATTGTCTTTTTGACTTGAATGACTCCTTCCTTTCTTGAAAGCAGAACAGCTAGGATCAGCTTTGGTTTTTGTTATTATTATTATATATTCCGCTACATAAATACCCAGGCTGTTATGTGCCGTGTTGGGATGGAGTGAGAGGGAGGCTCTGAGAAATCAGTGGGAGACTTAGCCGAGACTGTAAAGAATGAACCAGTGAGGAGGGTGGGTCAGTACTCCTTGGAAAACAGAGTAGTGCATTCAACGTCCTAGTAGTGAGTAAGGACCTCTCTGGTTGGAAGAACAGAGGGGAGTGAGTTAGGTGGAGGAGGAGAGTGAGGGTGGGGGTTTGGGCTGTGATGGAAAGAGGTGACCCAGGGACAGATCCGGCAGCCTTGTAAGTCTTGCATAGAAGCTTGGACTCAATCCTGAGCCTGCTTGCTCAAATTCTACAACCGCCTCACTCTTAAGCCTGATTTGAGTAACCAGCTCCTCTTCTGGGAAGCCATGCCTAACCCTCACACCTGCTGCAAAGCTCTAACTCTTCTCTTTCCACAATTTGGACGGACTCACCTAAGGCACATTTCCATTTTGCTTTGTTGAGAACAAGGTAGAACAGAGTAAATAAGAGTGAGGTCCTGAGGTCAGGCTGCCTGGGCCGATCGCTCACCAGGTGTGTGATTTGGGGCAGGGCACATGCCTCAGTTTCCTTATCTGTAAAATTGCTAAGAGTCAGATCAACCTACAGTTAAATGTATTAATATATGTAAAGCACTGGGCATAGTGCCTGGCACACACCAAGGATGCAGTGAGGTCCAGACTCTCTGCTTTGCCTGCCTCTACCTCTGTTACTGAACTGTGAGCTCCCTGTGGGCAGGGCATATGACCCATGGTTTTCTATACCCTTGGCTCCTAGCACAGGCCAAAGCAGAGTGGGTGTTCAAGAAATAGCCACTGATCCTGCTGTCTTTTGGAGATGCCCTTGAGAAGCAGCCCAGAGATGTCTCATTAACTCTTCCAAAAGCAAACACATGGGTTCAAATTGTGCTGTTGCCATACACTTAACCAAAGCCACTTCTCTCTTAGCCTTAGTTTCTTCATTATAAAATTCATATCTGCCGGGCTCGGTGGCTCAGCCTGTAATCCCACACCTTTGGGAGGCTGAGGTGAGTGGATTGCCTGAGCCTGCGGGTTCGAGACCCGCCTGGGCAGGTGAGATCTCATCTCTACAATTAAAAAAAAAAAAAAAAATTAGCCGGGCGTGGTAGCGTGCGCCTGTATAGTTCCAGCTACTTGGAAGGCTGAGGTGGAAGGATCGCCAGAGCCCAGCAGGTTGAGGCTGCGGTGGCCGGAAGCAGCCACTGCACTCCAGTCTGGGTGATAGTGAGACTCCAACTCAAAAATAAAATAAAATAAAATAAAAAAATAAAATAAAATAACATTCATATCTACTCCCTAGGGTGTGATGGGGATTAAATTGAATTGGCTACAGGGATGGAGCTTGTGACCCAGACTTGGCCAATCAGAGCGCTGATTTGCTGACTTTTAGCTGAGGGATGATCATGTGACTCAAGCTGGCCCAATAGCAATGACTCTCTGGAACATGGTAGGAGCTGTAAGATGAAGACTGGCTTTTTCCCCTCAGGACTAGAATATAGGAGGATGTGTGATCACAGCCACCTTGTGACCACAATGAAGAGGACATGGGCGCATGGACGACGGAGCAGGGGAGGCAGGGGACAACAGGGAGAGAGGGAATGAGGCTGATACTGCACGACCACGTCAGATGGAGGGAAACTGAGTTCTCATTAAAGCCCTGAACCCAGATGTACCTGTAAGCTGCTCTTTTCTGGACTTCTCAGTTGTGTAAACCAGTCAACACCTTTTTTGCTCAAATGAGTCTGAGTTGGTTTTCCTGGCATTTGCCACAGAAAGAGCTCTGAGGCACTGTGTCAGCAGTCCTGCTCCCTACTACCTACCTTCTGGTCGGGGTTCTCTGTTCCTGCCAGCATCCAAATCTGCAGCTGCCTCAGCACTGTTGATTGCCCTCCCAGCTGTGGTGTCCTTTACCTCCCTCCTGACACAACTTTGTTTTCTTCAGGCAGCAATGTCCCAGGCCTCAGAGAATATTGATCTAAGCTTGTCATGGCTAGCCTTTCCCTTTGCCGGAAATTGGTCTCAGGGTAGACATGGGACTCAGCTTTGGCCAATGAGATAAAAAGAAGTCTGCTGGGAGCTTCTGGAAAATATTTTGCTCACTAAAGAAGCCAGATGAGGAGACCTTTTGACCCCTGCCTCCCCTTCCCACATTGCCATTTGAGGATGAGATGCTTGGAACTGCTGCAGTCATCTTGCAACCGTGAGGATAGACCGTGACTATGTCGACTTGTCAGAGACAGCAGAGGAAAAAAATGAAAATACTCGGTTCTTGGTGGCATAATAGCTGAAAAAAAAAAAAAACTCTGAACCCATGCATCTCTGAACTTTTTTTTAAGTTAGGCAATAGCTATTTATCTCATTTTATTTTTTTTTTTGAGTTGGAGTCTCACTCTGTCACTCAGGCTGGAGTGCAGTGGCACACTCCCGGCCACCGCAGCCTCAACCTGCTGGGTTCCGGTGATCCTTCCACTTCAGCCTTCCAAGTAGCGGGAATTACAGGTGCATGCTATCATACCCGGCTAATTTTTTATTTATTATAGAGACGAAGTCTTGCCAAGTTGCCCAGGCTGGTCTTGAACCTGAGGGCTCAGGCAATCCTCTCCCGTTGGCCTCTCAAAGTGCTGGGATTACAGGCTGAGCCACCAAGCCCGGTCTATTTATATCATTTAAGGCACTATTCACTAGGCCTCATTACTTTTAAGCCATAGCATTCCTTACTGACGTGGTAAAATATCTACATGGTATTGCATTTAGTTCCTCATTTTAAAAAGCACACAAGCCTAAGAACATCAGTTCCTTTATTATTACTGTTATTATTATTTACTGTTATTTTCCCCTGAACAACAGCACAACTCAAATTTTAATAACAATGACACACATGCCCCACCCGTATACACAACACCACTAGCCTGTCTGCCAGGCTAGCTGGCCTTTGCTTGGTTCCTGATGGAGCTGTCTACAGACAGCCCCCTCTGTAAAAAATCCCGACTTGGACACCAGGGAACAAGAAAGGGGGGACCTTGGTTAGAGAAAAAAACTGAGAGGCTCCCAGAGTCCTTAGGGAGTACCAGCCTGGGAACCTTGGGAAGGTACTGGAAACATCTGGGCAGAGGGCAAAAGGCACTGTTTGTTTTCATGTAGTGAATGGATAAAGCCCATACGGGGATATAAGACCTGTCTATCACCCTTTGCAGGCCAGGCGTGTTGAGGCACAAAGGGGTGAGCTAATGGGTTTTGTCAACCAAAATTGGGAGCCCAGAGTAGGAACCTGGGTGATGGAGAGGTCCCCAAAGAAAAGTAATCCTTGCCTTAGCTGCAAGGTAAGATACAACGTGAAATGTCAAGTCCCTTGTATTTGTTTTGCAACTATAGATGTGCAACATGTTCGTCAAGATAAAAAAAGGTAGAGAAAGAAAAAATAGTATTTTGACCTAACGCAACCAAGCACGATTTGCCAATTGCGCCATCTTGTGGAGAAATATACTACTACGCTATCCAGGGAATCTGTGGTTGGTCCCCACCCCTCCCCCGCCCCCTAAATTTTAGTTGCACTAACGTCTGAGTTCAGCTAAAGTAATGTACCCTAGAATCAGAGAAGCCCTAGGGTTGGGGACAGAACAAGGATGGGCCAAGGCTGGGGGTCTCAGGTGCAGGTGACTTCCTGGCTGTCTTGGGGAAGCTGGTTGTTGAAACTGCTCTCTCCAAATGATGAGTAAGGAGGGACCTGGGGTGCTTCGATGATCAGCAGACCCTCGGGGGAGAGTGAAGCGAATACTGTCACAGGATCCACCTCTGCAGGAAGCCTAGGAGAAGCACAAGGTTTTACTCATTTCTGATGTTTAATACAGCCTTAACATTCCTTTACTTTACTTACTTGAAAGGACATAGACGTTGTTGTTTTTGTTGCCCAGGCTGGAGTGCAGTGGCATACTCACAGCCGTGGCAGCCTCGACCTGCTGAGCTCAGACGATCCTTCCGCCTCAGCCTTCTGAGTGGCTGAAACCACAGGTGTGCACCATCACGCCCAGTTAATATATATGTTTTTGATTTATTGTAGAGACAAAGTCTTGACAAGTTGCCCAGGCTGGTCTCAAACACCTGGGCTGAGGTGATTCTCTCACCTCGGCCTCTCAAAGTGCTGGGAATAAGGCTTGAGCCACCATGCTCGGCTGGAAATCTTTCTGATCTTAGGCTCTGGGGACATACAATGCTGGGTCTGAACCCTGGCTCTGCCTCTCTTTAGCTGTGTCACCTTGGGGAGATCACTCAACTGCTCTGAGCTTGTTTCCTCATCTGCAAAATAATAATATTAAGCTTGTAGGGTTTTTGAAGTTATAGAATGAGACAGAGTCTGTTCATGCTTTACAAATGGTAAAACAAGGTTCTAACAGGAGTTCTTAATTTAAAAGAGAGTTGCAGCCCACATGTTTGGTCTCAGGTTGAGAACACCACCTTAGCACCCACCAGGGGCCACGAGTGCTGCAGAAATGGCACCACTACAGTCCCTTTACAGAGCACAGGGAAGGTGTTGTGCATAGCTGGTAGCACACCTTCCTTTGGCATGCACCTGTTGAGAGTCCTTCCCTACAAAAATGTATTCATGGTGATGCAAGGACCGAGCACCCCATCAGACGAAAGGGGTCAGGCTGGCCATGTGTAGACTCCAGATGGCAACATACCTGCTCCATAGCATTAAAAATGACCCTTGACTTTGGTCATCCCCTAAGTATGTCTTAGTAGGTCATGATTGTGTTGTCCTTGAAACTCAATTATAAACACCACTGGGTTGTATAAACACCATTGGTTGATGAAAGAACCAATACACAAGGTAAGCTCATTCCTGGCCATAGGCCTTATAAGAGTCTAGGACGACTAAGAGGTAAAAATTAACATGCCGATTTCATAGATCACTAATTGAATGCCAAGTTCCATATGTAAGAAAGCATCAGAGATGGGATTTCTGAAGCCAAATCTGGTTCTGATGAGGTATTTTTATGATTTTTGGACTGTTTGGGGGGGGGAAATGAGGCTATCTGGGACAGTTTCTTCAACCAACTATTGAGATTGTGAGAACATGTTGGTAGTCTCCCTGGGGTGCCATGATCACTTAAATTCATGAAAACCATGACCTTCTGGCGCTTTCCATGTGTGGGTACTTTACCTGCAACAATCCTACCAGGCAGATCCTATGACTATCTCTAATTTACAGATGAGAATATTGACACTCAGAGAAGTAAACTGTTTTGCCCAAGGCCATCCAGCTTATAAGTGACCAATGGGAACTAAAATTGGAATCTTGATCTCAGCACAGACAGCTGTGATGCTCTACTGGCCTGCCTGGCACCAGACTTTTGAAAAAAGGGCCATGAGGGAAAGTCAGGAGGTTCAATCACCCTAGACCTTTCCTCTGGTCCAGGCTGGTACTGCCTGTTGTAAATGCAAGAGTCTTTTTTTTTTTTTTAGTTGGAGTCTCACTCTGTCACTCAGACTGGAGTGCAGTGGCCGCTCCCGGCCACCGCAGCCTCGACCTGCTGGACTCTGGCGATCCTTCCGCCTCAGCCTTCCGAGTAGCCGGATATTACAGGCGCACGCTACCACGCCCGGCTGATGTTTTTGATTTTTTATTGTAGAGATGAGGTCTCGCCAAGTTGGCCAGGCGGGTCTCGAGCCCGCGGGCTCAGGCAATCCACTCACCTCAGCCTCCCAAAGCGCGGAATTACAGGCTGAGCCACCGAGCCCAGCTGCAAGCGTCTTGATGAAAGAACCAATACACAAGGCAAGCTCATTCCTGGCCACAGGGAGGACACTTCCAGAGGGGCTGGGCAACTCTTTTGCTGTGTACAGCCATCTGAAGCCAGGAGCCACATCTACCAAGGAGACTCCTTGCTGAGGAGAAGGATGAATGAGGTAGAGTGAACCCGGGTAGTTGCCAAGGTGGGATTTTGAAGCAGACACAAGTTCGAAAGTTTGGGTCTCCCTCCCACTACTGGGGATGGGCTGGCTGTGTAACCGTTTGTATGCCCACCCAACGCCAACCTGGCACATTGTGACAGGGTAGCTGTGGTCCACAGCATGGCCTCTGCAGGTCAGCAGGCCGACTTGCATTCAAATTCTGAGTTTGACTCTTCCCGGCTGTGCAAACTTGGGCTGGTGACCTTGCCTCTCTGAACCTATTTCCTTAAAGGGAAAAGGGGGTAACAATATCTACTTCTTAGGGTGGTGTGAAAATTACACTGTGGTCTTTGGCCTTCCATGTTGGCACCTTGACAGCTGTGAATATTTTAACACAAGTTGCAGTATCATCAGACTGCAGAATGTCAGAGTCCCAAAAGATCTTCATGATTGTCCAGGACAATGCTCTCAAATTACACATGGGGGAAACTGAGGCCCATAGTGGGGAAGAGTCTAAGGCTTCTCACCAGGTGACCTGCACATTTAACTCACATAGATACAAGGAAAGTTGTTCCTCTTCAGTTCTGCTTCAGCCTCTCCATTTATCTCTAAATGAATGTCTCAGCTAAGTGTTAATATGCCCTTAACACCTTCAGCCTCTATGACTTGCTACTTGCCTTTTCAACAAAGAAAGAGCTGATCTAAGGCTTAGGCCCTCACACAAACAACATTATCTGGTTAGAATTTAAGCACATTTTGCTTTCATTAGATTTATTTCACGATTGCCTTCTTTGGTGAACGTTTTAGTGATGAAAATTTAACATCATCAAAAGTAAACTGACCTAAAAAAAAAAAAGCCTTAAGCAAATAATGGCATAGGAATGTAAGCAGAAAAGACAAAAATTAGTGAAGATGGTATGTGAATGACTGTATTGCAAATGACTGTAATTTGGACTTCTCTAACCAAGCAGGAAAGTCATGGCTTTGAAAGTCAAAAGATCTGTGTGCAAATCCCAGATCTGCTCTTAAAAAAAAAAGTTTTATGAAGATATCATTGACGTACAAAATTGTACACACATATTTGTGTATATATTGTGTGTGTATATATATAAACACACACAGCTTTATATTTTGTTTTGTTTTTGAGACAGGGTCTCACTTTACCCAGGCTGGAGTGCAATGGTGTGATCACAGTCCAACACAGCCTCCATCTCCTAGGCTCAAGCAATCCTTCTTCCTCAGCCTCCTGAGTATCTGGGACTATGGGTGCGTGCCACCACGCCTGGCTAACTTTTGTATTTTTTTGTAGAGACGAGATCGCATACCATATTGCCTAGGCTGGTCTCAGACTCCTGAGCTCAAGCAATTCTCCTGCCTCGGTCTCCCAAAGTGCTGGGATTACAGGCGTGAGCCACAGCACCTGACCCAAACTTTATGTTTTGATATCTATATACATTATGAAATGGTCACCACAATCAAGCTAACTAACATATTCATCACTTCTATCTAGTCACCATTTTGTGTGTGCATGTGTGTATGTTGAGAAGATTAAATTTACGATCTCTCCTCTTGAAAAATTCCAAATATACAACACAGTACTGCCAACCAGCATCACCATGCTATACATTGACTCTTCAGAGCGTATTCCTCTTGTGTAACTGAAACTTTGTGCCCTTAGACCAACATTTTCCCCTCCCCAGCCACAGCCTAATAGCCACTGTCTGACTCGCTGCTTCTATGGGTTTGACTGTTTTAGACTCCCCGTATCAGTGATGAGGCAGGGTAGCTAGCACAGGTTAGACATAGATAGATACATTTCCAATACGTAGGTTTTAGGAAGCATTCGGACATTTTAAAAATTACATTTTACTGTAGACCAAGCTGGCAGCCTACCCCACCCCCGCGGCAAATCAAAAGAAAACTCCATCAGATGCAAGACTAGGACAGCCCAATCTTTCAATTCAGGGTTTAGCATAATAATCTTTAAGAATCTTTCAGGTTGAAGGTGGAAAGTCAAAGACCACCCCTTAACTGACCAAAGCCACAGAAATGATAACTAGACCACCTTTTAGCTAAAGAACCTGTGAATTGGAAACGTCTGCCAGGTCTCCTGCAAAAGACAATGTGGCCAGGAAAAGACCCCTCCCCTTGTCTCCTCCCATCAGGAGCCCAGAGATGTCAATCTCTCCGGAGCCAAGGTTACCTGGACTCCACCCCTTAGTGTATCAATAACTAGGTAGCTATCTAGTTTGGCGTTGAGAGCAAAAGCGTGAATTTTTTTCTTTGAAAAACTTGCCCATGGCAGGTCTTTCTGCCATGAATCTTCCTCCTTCTTTCTTCTCTTTTTCTCGCTAATAAACATTGTTTGAAAACTTTGCCGGCGGCTCTAAAATTCATCTGAGAAACAAGCCAAAGAATTTTGCACCACACCCCACGAGTTCTGCACCACACCCCACCCGGCATCAAGTGAGATTATGCAGTGTTTCTCTTTCTGTGTCTGGCTTCTTTCCTTGGTGTGATGTCCTCCAGCTCCATCCACGTTGTCGTTCAGGACAGGATTTCCTTCTTTTCTAAGGCTGAATAATATTATATTCCTGAGCTGTTCTTCACTAGCCGTGTGACCTTGATTGAGTCCCACGACTCCTCTGAGCCTCAGTTTCCTCATCTACAAGATGGACTCAATAATACCTCCTCAATAGGATTCTTTTAAAGATTAAGTGCCATCAAGCCTATAGACCTCATAATAGGCTTTCAGTCTATTGCAAGTGGCAGAACAGATACCTGGGGAGGTGTGGAACCAGAAAAGTAAAGTTTGCTGTGGCTCCAGGTATCCTATGCTTCCTGTCTTCTCATCCAAGTTGGGTGCGGAAAAGAGCTTGGCTGCAGTTTTCGCCCCACCCCCAACCAGACAGGCAGACTCCAAGGCAAGTAGCTACAGCATTCTGCCTGGCTGGAAATCTCCAAGGATCCCAGCCTGGCTGAAGGAACTTCCTTGTCCTCTAATGGCCAGAGTTTTTCCTGAGAGAGGGGACAAGGAGGCCTCCTGAGACCGGTCCAGAATCGTCCCTGACTCCAGTCTGACTCCTCTGGTGTCTCGAGTCTGGGCAGAGCCAGGAGGTCTCAGGAGTCCCAGCTGCTCTCGTGTGATTCCAGTCTTGTGGAGTCTTTCCATCATGTTTGTTCCCATGGATCAAGCACTGAGTCTGTGCCCCTATTAAATGCTTTCTACACATCCTGTCACTGTCCATCACAACCTATCCATGAGGGATACAGGAATGGAAGCTCTGAGTAGTTAAGCAAGTTACCTATCCCCTGTATCCTGGAGCCAGGATTCCCTGAAGTCAGGACCGATATTCAACAGCAGGCACAGCTGGGCACTGGACAGTTAGAAGGGATGGGTACACGCCATTGTGACAGAGGAGGGTCTTGGGACACTTTAGCGTGCAGAGAGGCTTGGAGGGTCCTGGGTCAGGGTCAGGTTGGCTGAGGGGTTGGCTAGGGAGAGCAAGTGAAAGGCTCAGGGCAATGACTGGACTATGTCCTAACAGCTAGCTCAACTCAGCTGCTGAGCATCAACCAAACAGCCTCGAGCAAGTTTAGGCATTTTTATTTGGTCACAGGCCTCGGAGTTTGTGAAATTCACAAAAAAGTGGCCATATTTTCAAGATGATTATTTCACCAACATCTTTCTCATTCGGTCCTTTTCACAGCTTTGCCCTGCTTGTTGACTTCATCCTGAGACCTTGTTTGAACCTCTGAAAAGCAACATAGGCTTCCTCTCTCTCCCTTTCCCTTCCTCTCCCCTTGGCAATGTTTGATCTGGCTGCTGTGCCAGGGAGGGGAGTGTGTCATGGAGATGGCAGGGGAGCCCTGCAGATGTGCAGAACAGTGTGGTGACTGCCTTATCAGGAAGTGTCCAAGGACTTCCGAGAACCACCAAGAGTCTGGGAGGGTCAGGAGTGGGCATGTAGGGGGAGAGACAGGAACACAGAATCCCAAGGCCAAAAGAAGCCTCTGAATTCAGCTAGAGCAATCTCTCCAGGCATGGGATATTTTTGCCAGGGCCAGTAGTAAAGTTAGGATTCAAAAACAAGAAGAAGAACAACACACTGCACTCGTGAGGACTTCCCCTGTGCTATGATCTCTTTTCTTTTTGGTTGGTAACTCTGCAAAGCTGTAGCAGTCAGCATCCCTCTTACAAGAAGAGGAAACAGCACCACTTGCTCAAAAACTGAGTGTGGAACTCAGAGGTCAGGGATCTGTTTGGGGCTGTTCCAAATTCTAGTTGTAAAGACCTTGGGTAGGTTCCTTTACCCATGGGACTTGCTTTCCCCATACTACAAGGAGAATAACATCTTGAATCCGCAGTGCACGCCTTCACTGCAAAGGCTAAATGCAACAATGGCTGGGCAAAGACTTCAGGGTCAGAAGAGCCCACCGTGGAGTGATGCTGATTACAGAGAAGGGTTGCATGAGGCACCTGGCAGCTCTTCATGGGATTCAGTAATCATTGCTGCACCATGAGTCTCTTCTCCCTTCAGGTATTGCCAGGTAGGGCTCTAGGTGGCTCTGATTCATTGGCTCAGCCTGGTTGGCTTCTTGCTGCTCTCATGATGCCCCTGGGTCCAACCCTTCCCTTAGTCGATGCAGTTCCCCTCTTCCCTCCCCTCAACAAAACTGGCCCTTGCTCTGTCCCTGCCTCTCAGTCTCCAAGCCCCTCTGGGTGGTATGCAGTGGGATCAGGACATCTCCCGACTTTGTTTCTGTGGATGCTATCGAGAAGGTGCTTGTTCTCCTGGCATGGCAGAGGCAGAGCAAGTGGCCTTCTAAAGATTCTGTTGGGGCATTTGGGGCGTTAGGAGAGGATCTTTCTTGATGGCGATGGGTAGTTCCTCCTTCAGCCATGTCATGTGGGTGGGTGGTGCCCTGACCCTTGGTGTAATTGTGGACAAGTCATTCTGGCTGCCTTACCTTTGGAGGCTTCATCTGCAAAATGAGATTGTTAATACCCACCTCTTAGGGCACTGGGCAGATGAGATGGCACAGTCTATGTGCTGTACCTCCCGGTTCCCCACTGCAGGTCTGCTGGGACACTTCCTCCCCATTAGGTGTGAGGGTTCAATTCCCTGCCCCAGGGTGGGGGGAGGGTCTCAAAAGAGAGATCCCCAAGAGGGAGAGACCTCAGATCTTGGATCCCAAGAATGTTCCCTCTGCCACTCCCACCCTAAGGTCTAAACTGTGAGGTTACTCACTGGATTTTCTTTGTGAAGTTCTTAGAAACGATGCCACCTTCTTGCTGTTTCTCTTCGTGTTTGCCTGTAAGGAAGAGAAACGTGGTGTGTCAGCATCTACATGACTGTGGCACAGTTCAGAACTCAGCCTTGGATTCAGATCCTGGCTCTGGCCCTGCCTCGCTGTGTGCCTCTGGGTTGGTCTGGAGACTCCAGATGTCTGAATCTCTGGTCCCTCGTCTGCTCCATGGACCCATCTATGCCCGTCTCCCAGGATACTGTGAAGATGCAACAAGATAATGGACAGGAATGGAGGCTTTGATCATGGTCTGCAGGAAATCTTAGGAAATCACAGAAACCAGGCCACATGCTGTGCCCTCTCTTTCAAGTCTCCCATCTCATCCCTCTCTCCTAACCCTCCAGTAGAACCCTGGTGCTAATATCCCAGATGAGGTGGCAGATAAAAAGCAGGGTCACCCAGCTTGCTTTACAACTCGCAAAGCCCCTTCCTCACTCTGAGTATGGGCTTCTTTCTCCCTTTGTTCCTAGCATGTAAACTGAGACTGGGTGATGGGCCCAAGGTCGTCCAGCAGGTGAGTGGCATCTCTGGGTTTTGAATCAGCTCCCTCTGCATCTAGGCCAAGTTCTGGGGCCTGATGCCCCTCTGTCCTCAAATCTCTGTCTGTCCTGGCTCCCGGTGAACTCTCTGAGTCACATTATCTGTACCCAATTGTGAAAGCAGAGTCTGGAAATAATGCTTCAATCTGCTAAAAGCACCCAGCCCTTCCCAAGGAAACTCTTCTTGGGAAAGGACATGTTAGCATCACGGATGTGAAATTCCACCAGCCTCACCGCCCATGGGGTGGTGGTGGGGGGGTGGAAGGGGAAGAGATTAAAAATTTTCCCCCTAGGGAGGAAAGTGATGAAATGACAAGAAGGCTTGTGCCCAAACTGGCTTTTATCTTGCTCTTTATTCGGCAAATTCTGATCCTCTGGCCCAGCCTCATTTTTTTTCTTTAATGGAGAAGGTGTCTCCATTTCCTCATCTCTACAATAAATCAAAAAATCAGCCAGGCATGGTAGCGCATGCCTGTAATTCCGGCTACTCGGAAGGCTGAGGTGGAAGGATCGCCGGAGCCCAGCAGGCGAGGCTGCGGTGGCTGGGAGCGGGCACTGCACTCCAGTCTGGGAGACTGAGTGAGACTCCAACTCAAAAAAAAAAAAAAAAATTTATTGTAGAGATGAGCTCTCACTAAGTCGCCTGGGTGGGTCTTGAACCCGTGGGCTCATGCAGTCCACTTGCCTTGGCCTCCCAAAGTGCTGGGATTATAGGTTGAGCCACCAAGCCCAGCCGAGATTTTTTTTAAAATTAACTATTTGTGGGTGATTACATTATTAGTTGCTTTATTATTAATTATTTCTTTGTTAATAACATTTTTCTGATTACAAGATAATGCATGTGTATGTTAGAAAATAAAGAAAAAAGCATCAAAACCACCCATAATTCCATCACCTCAAGGAAGCCACTAATAACATTTTACATTTCAGACTTTTCTTCCTATATTCCTTAGAAATGTATAAATGTTATATAGTATAGATGTATATAAATATTTTATAGTATAGATGTATATGAATATTTTATCAAATAGCATCATTCTATACATTATGCTTGAAACCTGTTTTTTCCTCTTGCTAACAAATTAAGATTACTTTTCCATATTACCAAATATTCTTTGCTGACATTATTTTTAATAGCTGCACAGTGTTTATGGGAGGAATACTGAAGAGTTCATTTAGCTAGAGGCCGGGCATGGTGGCTCACACCTGCAATCCCAGCACTTTGGAAGGTCAAGCCCGCAGGATTGCTTGAGGAGTTTGAAATCAGCCTGGGCAACATAGCGAGACCTCATCTCTAGAAAAAAATGGAAAAGTAAGCCGGGCACAGTGGCACACAAGTGTAGTCCCAGCTACTCGGGAAGCTGAGGCAGGAGGATCTCCTGAGCCCAGGAGACTTAAGGATGTGGTGAGCCATGATCATGCCACTGCACTCCACCCTGGGAGACAGAATGAGACCTTGCCCCCCCCCCCCAAAAAAAGAGTTCAATTAGCCAATCTCCTACTGAGGGTGTTTCCAGCATTGGAAGGAATCTCATAGCACTGAACATTCTTCTAGCTAGGCCTAACAGGATCTTTGCACCAGGTGAATCTAGGATTAACTTCAAGTTCTAGGATTTCTAAGACTTGATCCATAATGTCAAAATACCCTCAAGAAAGGCTGTCCCAATTTACTCCTCCACCACCAGGGCCAAGAGGGATACACTGATAGGAATTCATTTTTAAACAAGAATGTCTAGCTAACCAGGACATGCTCTCCTGTAAATGTGCGGCTGTCCAAAGAGTTTATTCTGTGCTGCCAAGTCTGTGACTACCAACTGCCTGGCTCCAGCATGGGCCCGCAGCCAGATTAGCACTGTCTGTTCTTTGGTACCCTCCCCAAAGCCAGGACCTCCGGAGACCTGCTTCCCCTGGAGGCAGGCCAGTGACTCTGACTCAGCCCTTTTGCATCTTGGAGTCCTTCCTCGTGCTTGGTGCCCGGGAATAATAACTGATGATAACGTGAACAACAAAAGCAAACTTACAGAGAACTTTCTTGGTATCAGCCACTGTGCCAAGAACCTTACCTACAGCAACTCATTTGATTTTTACAGTCACTTTAAAGAATAATAGTAAGATAATAATAAAAGCAGGGACTTTTATTATTGCCATTTTGTGGGTGGGAAAACCGAAGTTCAGAGAGGTTAAGTGCTGTGTCCACGGCCACACAGTTTGGAAGTGAGTGGGGCAAAGATTCAAAAGCAGGCAGGTAAGTTTCAGAATGCTGGGGTTTGAAAGTAAGTCCCTGCTCTGACATTTCCTAGTATATCTCTGAACCTCAGTTTATTCTTCTCTAAAATGGGGGTGACAGCACCTACCTTACTGGGTCACTGAAGGAGCAAATGAAAGTGAGACAGAATGGCTTTGAAAATTGTAAAAATACTGTGTAAAAGTGGACACTTGCAGTTTTATTCTGATGTCTGGGGAAAAACTACTCTTCAGAAACTGTCTGAAGACAGAGATGTCTCTGTCTCTGTTCTGAAAACAGGGCACTGGGGTGAGGAAAGAGAGACTCTCTGAACAGTGATATCTTCAAGATTTCTACAAGTTGGGGCCTGGGGCTGGGGTTAATCGGGTTGAAAGAGGGTATTATTAAGAGGATTGACTTGGAGCTTAATTTGCATATCATTTGCATACTTAGATTGTGTATTGGGGCAGTTTAAGGATTAAGAGTGATTCTTAATTTTTTATTTTGCCTTCCTATCTACGTGAAACATTTTATTTTTGTAAACAGAAAAAGTAATTATGATTTTTTTTTAAAAATGCATCTGGAAGCTAGGGGAAGCCAGGGGCCCCTTGCAGCCACCATTTTCTCGACCTGCCTCAGAAAAAGTACACGCCAAGGAGCAGGCATCAGCACTCTGGAAATGCTGGAGGAGCAGGCATCAGCACTCTGGAAATGCTGTTGGCCCAGCTAAAGAAAGAAGGTGCTGTTTTCCAGGAGAACAGAAGCCAGGGATTAAAAAGAAGGGGTGGGAATAAGGCCTTGGGGCGTTCCAGTCTTTGTCCTAACAAGGACCTGGCCCAGTGGCCCGTGAAGCGAACATTCTTTGGCTAGTAACTGCAGGATGAGGGTAGGAGATGTGAGGCTTGATGAAAACGGTCACGTCTAGCATTCTTCAAACACTTCCCTGAAACAAGATCCTTGCACGTGGACAAAAGGCTCTGATAAGTCCTGCAGTGAGGTGACCTGTTTATAATTTATAATTTTGTTTCATCTAGCACCTTCTAAAACTCGGAACTTGCCTTCCTCTTTCTCAGATGCCAAGTAATACCTTAAAGTACACCATTTGGCAGATACTGATCTAGTCTACCTCTTCATAAGGCCACCAGTAAAGCAGAGGCCCCAGAGACAGTGGGAAAGTTTTTTTTCTGAGTTGGAGTCTAACTCTGTCACCCAGGTTGGAGGGCAGTGGCACACTCCCGGCCACTGCAGCCTCAACCTGCTGGGCTCGGGCAATCCTTTCACCTCAGCCTTCCAAGTCGCTGAAACTATAGGCACGCGCCACCATGCCCAGCTAATTTTTTGATTTATTGTAGAGGTGAGGTCTCACCAACCTGCCCAGGCTGGTCTTGAACCTGTGGGCTCAGGCAATCCTCTCACCTCAGCCTCCCAAAGTGCTGGGATTATAGGCGTGAGCCACTACACCCGGCTGGCAGTGGGATTTGCCCAGGGCCACACAGTCCCAAGTAGATCCAGTTGTTCTGACTCAGAACCATCCACAAAGGCCATGGAGAAGTAGGTGTGGTCTTAGATGAGTTACTTTATCTGGGTCTCAGTTTCTTTATCTATAAAATGGGGTTAAACAAACTACCCACACTTCCCAGGAGGTCTTTGTGAGGAAACAGTGAACCAGCACAGGTAGGCATTCAGCACAGGGCCCAGCACAAAATGCTTGTGAAAGAGCAGACTTGTCATGATGTGGTGTCGAATGGAGACTGGATCTGATATCAGACTTCCCTTGAAAGTTGTGTTTTTTGTTTTTTTTTGAAGTGGGATTTGTTGAGAGGACAGAAAAGCTCCCACAGTGGGAGGGGACCCGGAGGGGTTGCCTGAAAGTTGTTTTTTAAATAAAGCCCCGATATCAATTTTTAAAAATTTTTATTTTTTTTTTATTTTTTTGAGTTGGAGTCTCACTCTGTCGCCCAGACTGGAGTGCCGTGGCCGCTCCCGCCACTGCAGCCTCTACCTGCTGGGCTCTGGCGATCCTTCCGCCTCAGCCTTCCAAGTAGCCGAACTACAGGCGAGCACTACCACGTCTGGCTAATTTTTGATGTATTGTAGAGATGAGCTCTCGCCAAGTTGCCCAGGCGGATCTCGAACTCGCAGGCACAGACAATCCACTTGTCTCGGCCTCCCAACGCACGGTATTACAGGCTGAGCCACCAAGCCTGGCTTCAATTTTACTTTTTAAACCTATGTTATGGAAGCCCTTGCATGTAGCTTCAAGGGATTTGGGTTCTATCTAGCTGAAGTCACTAGCTGCACGTTGAAAAGGCTCTGTCTTTGTCTTATTTACTCCCCCAATGACCCCATTTTATAGATGTGGAAATTGAGGCTCCATGACGTGCCCAAAGTTTCTGGATTAGTTAGATACTTAGCTGGGATCTCAGTCTGGGCCTGCCAGACCTCACTTGTGAAGAAGCACCTACAGGATGGGCTCGGTGGCTCAGCCTGTAATTCCAGCATTGTGGGAGGCCGAGACGAGTGGATTGTCTGTGCCTGCGAGTTCGAGACCCGCCTGGGCAACTTGGCAAGACCTCATCTCTACAATATATCAAAAATTAGCCAGGTATGGTAGTGCGCGCCTGGAGTTCCAGCTATTTGGAAGGCTGAGATGGAAGGAACGCCGGAGCCCAACAGGGCGAGGCTGCGGTGGCCGGGAGTGGCCACTGCACTCCAGCCGGGGCAACAGAGTGAGACTCCAACTCAAAAAAAAAAGAAGTACCTAAAAAAGAGGATGGTGAAAAAGCCCTCCAGGCTGGACGGAGGGTCTCTTGGAGGGGTCACAGGGTATGGTAGATCCTTGAGCCTGGGCTAGAAGCCTCTAGGACCCTAAAAAAGCAAGGACAGGAGGAACAGCGATAATCACCCCGTTTACAAAGTACCAGGCAGGCACTATTATTAGTTCCATTTTAACAGACACTTTGCATATATTACCATATATTGTGTGCATATATTTAATCTTCCCTACTGTCTTGCAGGATGGATAGTATTATGATGCCCATTCTGCAGATGGGGAACTGAGGCTCAGAGGGTAAAAAGACTTTTTCATCCACATGCACGCAACTCGCAGACAGCACTGCTGGGATCTGAACCCAGGTCTCAAAGATCATCTATCATTTATTATTGGGACATTATGTGCCCAGCACTTTAACAACAACAATAATAATTATATTGGCTCCTGTGTTCTAGTACTATGTATGTACACACTTTAAGGTATCCCTCCATTTAGTATAACAATCCTTATGGTAAAAGCTTTGGAACCCCCATTTCCAGATAAGAAAACAGAAGCAAGAAGTTACTTTGCACATCCTGCTGGTTAGAAACCCGTGCCTGTCACCCCAGCCAACTCAGAGAGCCCTGGCCAACTCCCCACCCCTCACTCCCCACCCTCCCCACCACCCCCCACCTCCCATTCCCCCACCATTCCCGCCAGGGCCCCCAGTGTGTCTCTGGTCCACCACACCCGCCGCCAGAGACTCTGATGCACATAATTCCACCCAGAGTGGTTTTGAAACTCCCCTTGAATGCTACTAGGACTAGTTTCCACCCAGCCGTGTTTGCAGTGGCTTGTATTGATTTTCTGGAAGGCAGGCCTCTGCCGGGAACACACTCTTTTTAATGGAGGTTAATTGGGAAGGAAGGAAAAGAAAGTCTTTTCTGCCACCCAGCTCAGCAGGGGCTGGGCTTCCTGTCTCTTCTTTCCTTTTCCCAGTGTGTTCCTTCTCCCAGGCTGGAATGTGGCAGCAAAAGCCCTTGGCCTAAAATTGGGGACAGGGTCAGCTGCTGTTCAGGTCCTGCTGCTGACTCATGGCACGACTGACTGTGAAGAAGTCCTGCCTGGGCCTCGGCCGCCTCAACTGCAAGGTGGGACCAGACACTCCTGCAACTCGGGGCTGGACTGAGAATTATTTTGGAGGAAAAAGATAAGCATTTTAGCTTATCTTGGCACCAAGGGCATTTTAGCAGCCTTTAGCATCTGGTAGGCGCTCAGTAAATCATGAATTCTCTCTGGCCTCCCGATTCTCAGACAGCCTGGGTCTGAATCCTCGGTGGCCTTGGGCAAGTTGCTTTAACCGCTCTGTGCCTCAGTTTCCTCATCTGTAAAAAGAAGAGATAAATTGGACCTGCCCCCTCTTCTGGTTGTTGTGTTAGCTGAGACGTCACAGGCTACAGTGCTTACCAAGGTGCTTGGCAGATAGTAAGTGCTCAGTCAAGGCTACCAATTAACATCATTATAATTACCAGTGAGCCTCAGTTTCCTTATCTGGGATAAGGGAAGGTGTTTCCCTTAAAACCTGTTGTGGTTATTAACACTATCATAGCCCAACATTAAATCTGGCCTTTCAGACCCTGTGTTGCACCCTGGGCATGATAAATTCTTCTTCTTTTTTAAATTTGTATTTCTTCTATATCTGCCTGACTTTCTGTCAAAATGTCCGACATGGCTTCTATTTTTCTGTCTGTCCCGATACAGTGTCCAAAGGCTCCAGCAGCTGAATCAGGTTGAGGTTCAGAAGGCCTGGAGAAGAGAGCCTTCCCAAAAAGATAACTTTGCGGGCTGCATTCCTGAGCCCTGAAGTCACCTGTGTCCTGCTGTCACAGCATCTCCCCTCTGAGGAGAATTTCTCCTGGCCATTCCCAGGGCTAAGGCCTACACACACACACACACACACACACACACACGCACACACACCCCGCCAACTCACCAGACACCTCCACGTAGCCATCCTTGGTCTTCACCATCAGCTCCTCCGGCTTGAAGCTGTGCACATTCACACACACTTTCCAGGGCTCCCCAGGGAAGGGTGGGAGGGTCCTGCCCTCCGTGGGCACCCCAAACCTGGCTGTGGCACCGGGCCCTCGGGGCACCATGCCCGACCTCAGGGTCCCCGGCCAGGCAGAGGAGAGACGAGGCAGGGCCCAGTCAGGCCAAGAGGCAGTCAAGTCATCGGGGAAGGGGTCCATGCCAAAGCCATCGTCCAGCAGGCGGGAGGAGAGGGGGGAGTCCCGGAAGGGGTCTCGGCGCAGGCGGCTTGGGTAGTGGCAGGAGAAGGGTATCTGACCGTCAGCCATGGCGGCTGCTGCGCTGAAGGGGAAACAGAGGCTCGGAGAGGAGGGGTGGCCTGTCCAAGGTCACACGACAAGCTGGTGTGAGTGGGCTGGCCTTCAAGGCTTATTCTTCAGCTTCAAAAATTGCTTATCTTCCGTCTGAGAGAAGCAGAACCACCCACAGCCGGGAAAGGGAGTGCCGTTAGGCTGCGGTCCCAGCCCCCGAAGGCGACCCCGGCTGGTCCAGCAAGAGCCCCAGAGGGCCCTTCTCCGCACCGCCTCGCCAGAGATCAGCAAACCACAGTCCTCCCAGGCTGCCCAGGCTCGCAGCCAGGACGCCGAGGTCTAGAGCGGAGCCGGGAGCTCACCAAACCCAGGGGAGGCGCGCCTAGAAAGTTCTCCCGGCTTCTTCTGGGCTGGGAGCGTTCTATTTATTTGCTAGGGAGGCTGGAGGCGGGTTCTGCAAGCGCCTCCTGTTACAGGAGTATTCGGAGGTGATGAACCAGCCCCGGAGAATCCGCTGAGGGAACAGCTGGGCTGTGGGGTGGGGGGAGCTGGGAGGGGCCGCGGCGTCCAAGTTCAGCCGGCCCCTCGGACACTCCCTCCTCCCTGTTCCCCGGCCGCCGCGCTCGGCTCCGCCCCCTCCACTGCTCCGGGAGCCGCCGGCCCCAAGCGGGGCACTGAGGCCCGGCTATTAATAACCCTGGGCCCGGCGGAGAGCTCAGGTCACCCTCTGGAAATACCTTCCCCAGCGCGTGTTGTATCTTGCCTTTTCCCTGGGGACCTGCAGAAGGAGGCGAGAGAGCCAGAAGCCCAGTGGGTTTGAAGGATGGCCCTGGGTGGGAATCTCCACTTGCAATGAGGCTGAGGTCTCAGAACCTCAATGTCCCCTGGGAGAGTCGTAAGAAAAAAGGATATTTATATATGCATAAACATTTAGCATAAAATAAATATAAATTTAGAAATATAAATATATAATATAGGCATATATAAATTTATTATATATAATTCTATATAATGTATAAATGTATTTGCATGAAATATTCATATATTATATTTAAATCCTATATTTATGTGTCTAGGAGATATTTATATATTGTATATGTATATAAATACATCTATTTATATTTGTAGAAATATTTAAATATATATCATATTTACATAATTATATACTTATAAACAATATATTTATATAAATATGTTTGAATATGTGTATGTGTTCGTTCGTGTATGTGTATTCAAATGACACTTGGTAAAGCATGATAAAGACTTTATTGGGCAGGGGGCCATCTCACTAGGTATAAGCACTACTGCAAGGGGATTTTGCAGTGGGGGAGAAAGCTCAGACCCAACTCCCCATACAGCAGGGGCAAGTAGGGATTGATAGCCAAGCAGCTGGGTAGGAATCAGTGAATGGAAAATTACTAAGAGGAAAATCAGGGATCAAAGGGATCCTGGCGCCTAGCAGGATTCCAGCTGAAGACAGGCCGGGCTGGGTTGCTCAGACATCCTCTGCGGGATGGTGGAGTGGGAAGATCCTGATTAGATAGCGAGGGGGATCAGATGTTGAATATGGGTGTTTGTGGCCAAACTGACTTAGCAGGTTTTGTCCTGAATTTTATAAGAAACTACACAGATGGGCTTGGGATATAATTCTGAAGCCTGATTAAGGTTTGGTGAAGCAAGGAATCTTTGTCGGCAGTAACGTTATCCCCAGGCTTCCCTGAGTTGTCAACTTTCCTGCCTGTAAAATGGACGTAACTGTAGCCAGCGTACGGATGTGTCATGAGGAATGCATAGGTGATTCTCATTTGGTGTTTAGCAGACTGATGGCACCTTATATTTTCAATTTTGAGTTATTGATTACATAATGCTCGCTCTGTACCAAGTCCTGTTCTAAATGTTTCATAAATATTAACTTATTTAATCCTCACTAACAAACCCGTGAGGTAAGGATACCGTTTTATAGATGAAAGAACTGCCGTAGGAAGTGTGAATGAATAGTAGCTTCTATTATTATCATGACTGTTCATAATGATCCTTATCGAAAGGTGCTATAGTCTGAAACTCAAAGCCTAGCCCTCCCTGCTCCTCCCACGCAGCTTGAAGAAAGAATTTACAAATCCTCCTTTGGCCTAAAGGCCCCTTGGGCCTAGGTTCCTATCTTTGATCTGTCCCCAACAGGTAGACAACTTCGGGCATGCAATTTTCCCTCGGTGAACTTCAGGGTCTCAGTCCTGCTTTCTTCATGGGGTGGGGGCAGGTTGAGGATGTTAAGGAATTCAGTGAGTCACAGGTTGAGAAATTGTTTTGACATTACACAGTGCTTGTGTGAGGCAGTTTGCTAAAAATAATAATACGGAGAACAACAACGATCACAATTGTTTATCTCCTCCTGTGTATCTGTTCTTGGAATTTATACATTTCAGACATTATTGAGTTAAATCCTCACAACAGCATCACTATTATCATCAACCTCATTTTGCAGATAAGGAAACAGAAACACAGAGCCTTGGTCTTTGCATGCAGGTGTATCAGGTGGTAGGGTCTGGAGGTGGAGAACCTAGGTTTTGAATCCCAGAGCTGTGCTGAACTGACAAATGGAGACCCCCACCCTTGCCCCCGGCCCTGACAGAGGGAGGCCGGGGACCCACAGCATGGCACATCCAGAGTGACTGGGGCCCCACTTGATGTGGGGTGAGCTCATCAGGCTGGAAGCTTTGGGCTGACGTCATGGCCAGGCACAGAAACCTCAGCTCTCTCTGTAATTACAGCTGGGCGGGGCTGACTGAGTTTGAAGCCAGTTATGGGGAGAATCACTGCATGACACATGACATCAGGAGAAATCTGGCCCTGCCTGGGACCTGGGTGGGGGCTGTGGTGAGATTTCTGAGTGGGTGGGATGGGGTGGAGGTGGCTTGGTCCAGAACGAGTTTGTGTGTGCACTGGAGTGGGTGTGGGGGTGAATGTGTGTTTATGTGTTATGGGGCTGTGTTTATTTATGGGTGAGGCTGCTGGTAGGTGTGTTCTGGAAGAGTCTTCTCTTCTCCTCCCCGCACCCCCCCCCCATGTCCCCTCCACAACCCCTCCTCCAAACCTCCAGAAGATCCCTCTGCCGAAAATGAGGCTCAGTTGGGATCAGGGAGCCAGCAAGGAGGGGAAGCTTAAGGAGGAAGCAGGGAACTTAACCTCATTGACTGAATCCACCTTCTCATTTCAAGGATGAGAGGGAGGAGAGGGATGATGTGCAACTAGAACACAGAAGTAACAACCATTAACATTTGTGGGGGCACGTGCACGTGGCAGCTTCTGTTCTAAGCCATTTATTTATTTAGGGGCTGGGTTCTCACTCTGTCTCCTAGGCTGGAGTGCAGTGGCAAGATCACGGCTCACCACAGCCTTAACCTCCTGGGTTCAGGTGATCCTTTTGCTTCAGCTTCCAGAGTAGATAGGACTACAGGTGCGTATCACCATGCCCAGATAATATTTTGATGTTTAGTAGAGACGAGGTCTCGTTATGTTGCCCAGGCTGGTCTCTAGCTCCTGGACTCAAGAAATCCTCCCACCTCGACCTCCCAGAGTGCTGGGATTACAGATGTGAGCCACTGCACCCGGCCATATTCTAAGCACTTTAAACTTATGCGTCTAAGCTCTTCTAATCCTCCCTATAATCCTATGAGGAAGGAATTTGCATTATCTTCATTTTATAGATGAGAAAACTGAGGCACAGAGAGATTACATGACTTGCCTGTGTCAGGGGCAGAACTGGGATTCAAACCTGGGTAGTGTGACTCTTGACCCATCTGCTACACTGCCTCTGCAATCAAAGTCATAGCTCACATGTATTGAGCGCTGACTGTGTGCCGGACTCTGTGATCAATAGTTTTATTGCCTCGTAGTTCAGAGACGTGAAGCCTGACTCCACACAGCCGACGGAGGATTCAAACCCACACCAACAGAACTTGGGAGTGCACAGTAATAACCAGTATGGGACAATATTGCCCAGGTCTTGCTCAGAGATCCCTCCACACCGCCTGGTGTCCCGTTCCCCTGGGGCTCTTACTACCGTTCTGGGTCAGGCCAGCCTTCTGTTCGGGGAAGCTGGGGAGAGAGTTAGCTGCTCTTGCTGATGGGGCCACCTGGTGAGGAGTTAGCTAACACAAGCAGAAAGTGGTCAGTAAACCCCACGGACTGTCATCAGCCAGGTGGCAACATGAGGCCAGGCTCAGGAGAGGACAGGGAGGGGAAGGGGCCTCCAGGAAAGAAAGACTTTGGCAGTTAGGGGATGTGGGCATTGGATAGGGGGAAGGGAGGATGTTAGATCCTGGGAACCAGAACAAGGATTCTCTTGACTGCCATCCTTGGGGTTTTCACACGGGACGCGCCACAATTAATCTTCAAAACAGCCCGGAAGGCGATGACATCACCCTGCATTCTGGAAACTGGGGCCCAGCGGGGGAGAAACAGCAGCTTGAAGTCACACAGGTGGTGCCTGGACAAACTAGGACAAAAACACAACTGCCAAATTCTGTGTTTTTTCTTTCCACTGTAGCAAGAAACAGAAGCCCCACTCTCCCCTAGGGGATTTCCAGCCCCTGCCCCTTTCCAGGGTCTGCAGACTTCTCCCAGTCTCTCCAGTGCCCCTGGATCTCAGCACATCCTCTAGCAAACAGGAGGTGACATGCTCATGCCTGTTTCTCTTTCCTTTTCTCAGACCCCCTGCGATGACACTAATGGAATTTCCAGCAAGGGTCCATGACAGCAGGACCCTTGGAGTGTCGTTCACAGCAGCATCTTCAGGGCCTAGAGGCCTTCAGCAACCTTGTGTCTGAAGTGTCCGTCCCCCTCTGGTAGACTCTACACACAGTAACAGCATCAAAACATTAGCTAAAAATTCTGAAAAACATAGAAGGCGCCAGGCACCAAGTTAGAGATTTTCCAAGCATGTTCTTATTTCGTCTTCACAACAACCTCCTGGAAGTATTATATGATCATTATTCCTGCTGTACAGATGAGGAAACTGAGACACGAGACATCAAGTGACTTGCCCAAGGCCACGAGTTTGGGGATTCTGAACCCAGGTCTGTCTGAACTTCAAGCCCAAGCCTCTTTCCTCTGCCATACACCCCCTCAAACAAATGAATATATAAGCAAATAAAATAAACAACCCATATGATCTCTCCATAAATAAGCCTAGGCTGTCACAATCCTAGGAAGGAAATGCTTATTTATTGAGCTCTGGCTTCCTCCTATTATTTTCTTCAAAATTCTTTCCAGGGTTTCTTTCTCCCAACTACCTCTGTAAACAACAACAATAATAGTAATAGTAATAACACTCAAAATTTTGTACCAGTTGTAAGTGCTTTGCATATTATTAAATCCTCACTGGAACTGTTCTAAGGTAGATATTATTATCCCCATTCACAGATAACAATATTGAGGCACAGAAAGGTTAAATAACTTGCCCAAGGTCACACAGCTGGGATTGCTGGGATTTAAGTCTAGACACTTTGGCTCCAGAGTG